ACAAATAAAATCTTACTTTTGTAATATTTGTTCAATGACATACCTCGTAATGAATGTTTATCAACTTTAAAAAACGAACGATCAAAATGAACTAGTCTTTAATGTAATGAAAGCAACAAAATTTTCAGTAATTTCTATAAAATAAAGTATTAAACGATCTTGTTCTTGAACATGCAACATAGAGTTGACTGTGCAAGATCCAAGGGTTTTAGAGATAAACACCAACTTTATCAAGAGTTTGACAATTGAAAAGAGCATTGTCTTCTAGAGTCATCAAAAAAATAAATTACAGATTAGTATATATATATATATATATATATATATATATATATATATATATATATATATATATATATATATATATATATATATATATATATATATATATATATATATATATAGATATATATATATATATATAATATATATATATATATATATATACATATATATATATACATATATATATATATATATATATATATATATATATATATATATATATATATATATATATATATATATATATATATATACATGTATATATATATATATATATATATATATATATATATATATTATATATATATATATATATATATATATATATATATATATGTATATATATATATATATATATATATATATATATATATATATATATATATATATATATATATATTGTTGTTTATTATTGTATCTGGTTGAGATACAAATTCTCTTGTTTACTTGAGAGTGATCAATAAAATGTAAAAATAATTTTTACAAAATAGATCAGTATATATATATATATATATATATATATATATATATATATATATATATATATATATATATATATATATATATATATGTATATATATATATATATATATATATATATATATATATATATATTATATATAAATATATATATATATATATATATATATATATATATATATATATATATATATATATATATATATATATATATATATATATATGTATATATATATATATATATATATATATATATATTATATATATATATATATATATATATAAATAAAGTGTAATTAAATAGAAAAATACAACTTTATAATGGAACTAAAAGTTTCATGTCTATTGGCAATCTTCAGCCATATATATTATACAAATCAAGAAAAAAAACCGTTAAAAAATACAAAATACAAAAACAGCAGTAGAATGAGTTCCGATGTCAAAACAAAACGAAGAAAAAAACGAATAAAAAAGAAGCATAGTTGTAAAACTGCTAATCGCCAGTGTCAAATTGAGCAAAAAGAAATCTGTTTTTATGCCGGCACTTAGATAATATTTCTCTCTTTTTATTTAACAAATTTGGGTGTTTGAAAAATAAAATTTCGTACATTTCGTTTAAGCATAAGTTACATTGTTTTTTTACAGGGTTATAGGGATCGCACTGTTTAATTATTTTCCACCTAACAACCAGGTTTAAGTTTTCGTCTTTTAATCTCCAAACCTCCTTTGACAATTCAGTGTCATTTTTGCACCTGGGAATTTCAAAAGATTTTATGTGATTGGCATATTCACTTCTAAAAGATGTTAGAAAAAATTTCTTCTTGCCCAATTCGACACTGGTGATTAGCAGTTTTACAGCTATGCTTCTTTTTTATTCGTTTTTTTATTTGTTTTGTTTTGACGTCGGAACTCATTCTACTGCTGTTTTTGTATTTTGTATTTTTTAACGGTTTTTTTTCTTGATTTGTATAATATATTTATTTGAAAATTGCCGATAGGCATGAATCTTTTAGTTCCATTATAAAGTTGTATTATTCTATTTAATTACACTTTATATATATATATATATATTTATATATACATACATATATATATATATATATTATATATATATATATATATATATATATATATATATATATATATATATATATATATATATATATATATATACTTTATAATAAAAACTACGGATAAATATACTTTATAATAAAAACTACAAATAAATATACTTTAAATACAACTGACAAAGGACTTGATTTGTGTTATTATAAAAATGCATAAAATACCTGACTTTAAAAGTTACTATACTAATTTTAAGATAACATATGGTTTATTCATGACTACAGAAGTTAAAAATTTAAAAGTTTTTGATTTTATTACTGATTAAGCAGATATTACCTGGTTATAAATATTTAAGAAAACCTAGTTCATTGTGTGGTCAAAAATATAAAGAGAAATATTAATAGGCCAAGCATGCTAAAAACTCGGTGTCAAACGCGCACGAGTGGGTAACACTAGTATTAAGTTCAGCAATAATATAAAGTGATAGGATAGTATTTTAGGGATCAATTTCCGGGTTTCCGGCAAAAGTGAAAATATTGGTTTCAAGTTGGTCCAAAATTGGTTGTTATTATCAATTTTTTTCAGGATAAAAATTAAAGAATAAAAGAGTTTTAACATGAAGTTTTTTTATTTTGAAAACTATTGGCATTTATTGATGCTATTATTTAAATAACAATAATTCAATGGTTTTTAAATAGATTAAAAAATTAACAAAAATGGTTTTGAAGTTGAACAGTTGCCTTTAACCATTAAGAACAACATTTAATACTAAGTATGTAATATTGACACAAAAAGTTGGTTTTCAAAAAGCTGGACAAATTTTTCCGTTATTACATAAAAACTTCATTTGTTAGATTGAAGTTCTTAAAAATTTAACCATAGTTTAAGAATCAACTTTTAACTTTTTAAATATATAATGTCAGTTGTTTTTGAGATAAAAACTTCGTAATTCAGATTTTTAATACAAATTTTAGCTTATTTGTCTATCTGAAACCCATAAAAATGTTCAAATAATCTTTTATAGACACAACAATTAGGCTGCAAGCAATTAATAATTATATTAGGAGTTAAGTGGAAGCAAAGAAAAATATTAAAAAACAGAAAAGAGGCAATCTTTCAGTTACGAGATCTAAAATAATTTTTTTGTTTGTTGTGCTTTTGTCATTAGAGACTATTTTAACAAAAAGAATATTTATTGAAATAATAAAAAAAAAAGAATTCAGTCTCATGGCGAACCCTCAGTTGTTAAAGCAGCACATTACCTTGTAGCAGCAGGCTATGCGATGTTAATGTTATTAATTGCAGCAAATTCCCTTCTAGCAGTATGCTATGAGATGTAAATAATAATTTATGTACTGTAGCCAACAGATATTCCTCATTTAAAAAATAATGACCAGAGCGCAACAAGTAAAAAAAATAAAATTACTGATGCACGCTTAAAGGTACCTATACCCTTAAGAGGGATTGACAAAAGACCTAAAAAAGTTTAAATTGTATGAAATTGTGGTTATAAGCAGAGGAATATTTACAGCAAAAAAAAACTGGTTAAATGATAAGTTGATATTGAAATGTGATTGATGTTAAAAGTAATAATTGCTTGTATTTGAACCCAAATATATTTTTAAATAGCTCTGCTAAATGCTAAATAGAACAAAACAATATCATATTTATCAAAATATGCCATAAAATGCATCCAACTAACTAAACTATCTCTGCCAAACGTAAAGAATAAGATTGTTTTTCATTAATTTCATTATAAAGTCTATTTTAAAAAGATAATTGATTAAATTTTTTTTTTTTTCTCAGAAGTTTCACAATTTTTAAATTATCTAAAATAACTAATTTTTTTTAATTAGGGATAATATTTACTTTTTAAGCAAACATAGTCACTGCAGCTCTTAGAGTTTTTTTAATGGATAAATATGTATTCTTTTTTTGTATAATAAATATGGTAATTTTACATAGAGGTTTGATAAAAACGCATAATTACTATTTAGCAAGGAAAAATCACGTTTAAAAAAATCTAACCTAAAATAACATCAAATAAAGAGTCTTTAATACAAGAGCATTTGAAAAAAAATTGGGATGGGATAGGTAACTTAGTCTAAATCTAATAAACCGGAGGGTTTTAATAAAAAAAAAGAAGAAGGGGAAAAATTTGAACAGAGAATAAAAAAATATTGAAGCTTGTACATAATGTAAAATCAGCGGCAAGTAATTTGGGTTTTCTGGATAGAAAGTTATTAAGTTGGCTAATTGGTATGATTTTGAAAATAAAAGGTTTAACCTTTAGTGCCCAGAAGATCAGTGGTACTAAATATGAATACTTTAGTATCATGAGCATTAAGACACTAAAAGAAATTATATTAACGTGCAGATAAAAAAAAAAAGAGCCTAATTATAATATTGGAACAATGAAAAAATAGACGGAGGTAATTGAGTAAAAGGGTGCTTAACAGAAACACGTAATAGAATTACCAAGGCATTTAAACTTAATTACAAAGAAATAAATTGATAATTAATTTATGCCTGTGCCTATAGTTAGAAAATTAGGCACCTATTGCGCTATTGGAATCTTTGCGAGAAAGATGATTATAACTATTAGTAATGGAAAATAAAACAGCTTTAATATAAAATTTCATTATACATGTCTGTGCAAATATGTCTAGTGAATTTTGCAAGAAGTAATGTTTAATGGTTAAAGATTTTCTTCGAATATCGCAAATACTTTTTAAAACTAGTTCAAAATAAATTAATGTTAATAATGGTTTTCTATATTTAATAATTTTTATATTTAAATTACTTTAGTATTATATTCATGGTTTGAATTACAACTGAAAATTTCTCAATTGATTTATTCAAAGAGTATTAAAAAATATCAGAAGGCTTACTAATTAAAACGCAGTGGATTCTTTTCTTGTTTCAGTGCTTTTTATGTGGACTAAGCAAAATTACTATCAGAGAAACGAAGCCTATTTTTCAGACTGAAAATAATATTTACAATCTTTAAGTTAAAGATCTAATAAATGGTACAATCTTAAATTTATTATTATTTTTGTTGTTACTATAAGTTGACGATGATTATATTAATAATAAATTTTTATTTTAATATTTAAAAAAAGCAAATTTTGATTGTTTTAATTTTTCTTGATCGTTTCTATCTTTTGCTTTAGAACCATTATAAAAACTGAAGATTTTGACTGTAGTAAAAGTATTGTTCCTTCGCCATGCAACTGGTAATTTTTTATTTTTTTTATAATTTATGCATACATAATGTATCAAAATTGTCTTTAATATCTTATATAAAAAATTTTATACATATTTTTGTCACCGTGTATTTTGACCGTGTATGTCAAAACATGCAACCTTGCAATTTTAATAAATTTAAACGGTAAATTAGCAAATGCATCTTCTTATAAAAACATACAACTTAAAGCATGGGAAAAGCATTAATTCCGAACTAAATTAAAGTTAAAAATACTCAAATTCTGCGTTTTAAAAGGATATAATCGACTACGGACTAATTGCTGTTGTTGACGAGTGAAAATCTTTATATTTATTCAAATCTATATACTGTTTTGCTTCATTGTTATTTAAATGATAAGGATTTT